TTGTCATGTCCAGGACCTAGTGACCAGCAAGAGGATTGGTTTGGCAAAAGAAAGTAGAGGCCTATATCACTTTCTACCAGACCAGCCTACTTTACCATACACTACTTCTCAAGTTGCTTCAGTTTATAATTTTGAATCCCACAAGATTGAGCTGTGGCATTGGAGATTAGGCCATCCCAGTAATAGTAGTACTTTGCTTCTTAACAAATGTAATCCAACAGTTCCTGTTGAGAGAGTGAGACATTGTGAGCATTGCCATTTATCCAGGCAGAAGAGATTGCCATTTTCTTTGAGTGATTCTAAGGCTTCAGACATCTTTGTATTGGTACATGTTGACATTTGGGGTCCATTATCAGTTAATTCCCATGATGGTTATTTTTATTTCTTAACCATTGTTGATGATCATTCTCGTGCTGTTTGGGTTTATTTAATGAAACAAAAGTCTGAAGCTAGGGGATTGTTGATTGGATTCTGTAAAATGGTTCATAACCAGTTTGGAAAGACAGTTAAAACAGTGAGGAGTGATCAGGGGAAAGAGTTTTATATGTGTGATTTCTATCTTAATCAGGGCATAGAACATCAAACCTCCTGTACTTATACACCTGAACAAAATGGGAGGGTAGAACGCAAACATCAACACATTTTAAATGTGGCACGTGCTTTGAGATTTCATTCAGGTGTACCTCTCAATTTCTGGAGTGATTGTGTGATTCATGCTGTTTACATAATCAATAGGCTTCCAACTCCAGTTTTACAAAACAAGTCTCCCTATGAAGTGCTGTACCAAAAACCTCCTTTCCTTGGTCATTTAAGAGTTTTTGGGTGTTTAGCATATGCTGCTAGCACTGTTCCAGGCAGAACCAAATTAGATCCAAGAGCTAGGCAATGCATCTTTCTTGGACTTCCAGCAGGGATTAAAGGTTACAAATTGTTTGATCTGAATTCACATGACTTCCTAGTGTCTAGAGATGTGATATTCTATGAAGACATTTTCCCATTTAAAACATTGAATCCAACTCCAGCAGTTGATAATGAACAGGTTGAAACCAATACATCACCTGTTTTTCCATCAATTCCAGAAAATAGTTTTCCTCCTGTCAGTAGTCCTTCTTTACAGGGTAATGTCAATAGTCCTTCCACACAGGGTCATGTCATTAGTCCTTCCTGTCAACCTTCTTCTTCCTCTTCTCATCCTACAAGCAATGAATTTGATGCATCATTTGATAATACTCCTGTGTATGAGACTGATATAACTGTAGAGAATGAAGAAGAAGAAGCAGAACTCCAACAGTTGGAGGAACATGAGGCAGAACCAGTTAGAACAAGACCTCAGAGAAATGTTACTTTACCAGCCAGATTAAAGGATTACTACTTGGGAATTGTCACTAAGTATCCAATCACAGATGTGGTTGATTATAAAATGCTGACTGAAGACATGAGAAGATATGCAGTCAACATGGTGACAATGGTTGAACCAACTTCCTTTGAAGAAGCAAATGAGGAGGAGTGCTGGAGGTTAGCAATGAAGGAAGAGCTACTTGCACTCATTGAAAACCAAACTTGGGAGTTAGTTAAACTGCCTCCAGGGAAGAAGGCAATTGGATGTAGATGGGTATACAAAATCAAACTCAAACCAGATGGAAGTGTTGAAAGGTTTAAGGCCAGATTAGTAGCAAAGGGTTTTACTCAAGTTTATGGAGTTGATTTTCTGGATACCTTCTCACCAGTTGCCAAGAATAATTCAGTCAAAACACTACTTGCAGTTGCTGCTGCTAAGGACTGGTGTTTACATCAGTTAGATGTTTCCAATGCATTCTTGCATGGGGACTTGGAAGAAGATGTGTACATGCAGTTGCCATCAGGGTTTCCAGTGGATGAAGGTTCTGAAGGCATGGTTTGCAAACTCAAAAAGTCATTATATGGCTTGAAACAAGCCAGTAGGCAGTGGTTTGCCAAGCTTACTGGATCTCTTTTGAAGAATGGATTCTCACAGTCCTCATCTGATTATTCCATGTTTGTTAAGTGGGTTCAGGGAAGGATTGTGGTTGTTTTAGTCTATGTTGATGATATAATACTAGCAGGTCCCAGATTAGGTGACTTGGAAGCAGTCAAGTTGTTTCTGAAAAGGGATTTTAAGATCAAAGATCTTGGAAGTTTGAAATACTTCCTGGGATTAGAAGTTACAAGGAATTCCAGTGGGATTTCAGTTTCACAAAGGAAATATTGTATGGATTTGCTTGCAGAGACAGGTTTATTGGATGCTAAGAGTTGTAAAAGTCCTCTTGACTGCAAGATCAAGCTGAGTGCAACTGAAGGAACACTGCTACCAGATCCAAGTGTGTACAAAAGACTGGTAGGCAGATTGCATTACTTGACAGTAACCAGGCCAGACATTGCCTTCTCAGTTCAGCAGCTGTGTCAATACCAAATACAACCAAGAGACACTCATTTGCAAGCTGCTTACAGGGTTTTGAGGTACTTAAAGGGAGCACCAGGTCAGGGTTTGCATTTTAAATCCAATAATGATCTGGTTTTGAAGGCTTATAGTGATGCTGATTGGGCAGCATGCCCTGACACAAGGAGGTCCATTTCTGGTTATTGTACTTTCCTAGGTGGATCTCTGATTACATGGAGAGCAAAGAAGCAGACTACAGTGTCTAGGTCTTCGTCTGAGGCTGAGTATAGAGCATTAGCTCACCTTGTGTGTGAGATACAGTGGCTCAAAGGGCTACTTGCAGAACTGGATGTGAAGATTCAAACACCAGTTCTGGTTTATTGTGATAATATGTCTGCAATTCAGATTGCAGAAAACCCAGTTTATCATGAAAGAACCAAGCACATCGAAATTGATGTTCATGTTACTAGAGAAAGGATCAAGTCTGGACTTATCAAATTGAAGTTTGTGAGAAGTGAAGATCAGCTTGCTGACTTGTTTACTAAAGGCCTAAGTCGATACAGGTTGAATTACTTGTTGGACAAGTTGGGCGTATTAAACATATACGCGCCAACTTGTGGGGGCGTGATGAAGTTCAAAGGAGTTGCTGACTTGAATCAGCAGGAAGAAGAAGTGCAGAAGTCCAAAGGGAAGCAGCAGCTGATGGTTGCAGAGTTTACAGAAGAAGAAGAACGTTGGAGTTGAAGGTTTATTTGAAGAAGAAACGTTTCTTATTAGAAACGAGTTGCTGTACGCAGCGTTTAGTTTATGTTTGTTGCTGTTAGTTATTTACAGAGCAATCGCTCTTGGACACGTGTTTTTGTTACCGTTACTCTACAGTAAATTTGGAATGGTATAAATGAAAGAAACCCAGCACGAGACAAGCTGAGGATTCCCCATTTCTTCTTCCTCCTTTACTTTCTGCATAATCCTTCTTCAGAAAGTTTCAAAACTGTCGCTGGGAAAGGAAGCGGTGGGAAGCTGGCTGCGAGGTCGAAGATCTGAAGCAGTGGAACTCGAAAGGGATGGATCTGGAGCCGAACAATCTTCAGCAGCGGCCCCCAAAATTTCGATGCCACTGTAGATCGAAAACATAAAATTTTCATCAATCTTCAGCGACGGTCGATGATTTGTTCGGTCGCCGCCATCGCTATCCCACCCCGAGAATGGGTCCTCATCTGAAATCTCATGAGAACGGATCTGTATCCAGCATAATCTTCCCGGCTCCGATTAGTTACTTTACCTCCGTTTCATCAGGAGGGTTCGGGCTGTCTGCTACTACTCGGAAGAGTGCGCGCTCGAAGATTTCGAAGGGGTTCGGATTCAAAAAGCCCAGCTTTCGTTGAGTATTCTGGAGGCGAATTCCTGATATCTGTTTCAGGAAAAGAATCTGCTGGCGTGGGTCGATTCTAACTGGAAGGGAGAAATCAAAATCACCGTTCAAAATCGCCACCACTAATTGATTCGAGGAATCGAGACTGTGAACCTGAAGAAAAAAGAAAGACATCAGCGAGAAGGATTGCCGGCGGTGAGATCAGGGAAGCGGCGAAGAGAGGAAAGTGAAAGTTATTTTCCTTTGTTTTTAATAATTTAATTAATTGTATGTTAATTTAAAAATTAATATTAATTAATATTTTTATTAAATATTGGCTGACTGGGACGCTCACGTCAGCAATATGTTAAATTTTGGGATGGAGATGACTGTATTGGTATTCACAAAAAGATTTTTGACCATCTTGTTATAAATGAAAGATTTATGATCATTTTGTACTAAGTGTAAATGTTTGTGATTGTTTATGTTAATCACTTGTAAACTAATTCTATTAGTGTACCGATTCAATTCATTGACCTTCTGTGCTCTGGGTTTCTCACAAGCTTTTTTTTTCTTTGCTCCTTGATAGGTTAATCCCAAATGCGATATTTGATTCCAATTAATTGGGGCTGACAATATTTTTTTTATTGTTAAAGTAAAAACTACTCACTACTCAGTACTCAGAAAAGCTTGTAAACGACATAGGTAAAAGGAAAGTAATAAGGGCAATTTTGTAATTATACTTATCTTCTGGTGACTTGGTGCTGACTCATAGCTTTCTCAGCATGTCCAGTCAGCGTATGGTCTCAACTTAACGGAACATTGATGGGTTACCAATAGTAAGGGCTGTCTTACAAAAATGCCCAAAGTTCAAGGATTTAATTTGAAAACAAATTAGTTCAGGGGCTAAAATGGAGAAAACGTGATAGTTTAGGGCAATTTTGTAACTAAACATCTTATGTGTGACTCGTCGCCGACTCAACATATACTGGTGGCCCAACTTAACGGAAAATTGATGGGTTACTAACGGTAAGGGCTGTCATAGACAAATGCCCAAAGTTCAAGGTTTTAATTAGAAACTTTTTTTAGTTTAAGGGCCATAATAGGGAAAACGTGATAATTTAGGGGCCAAAATCACCATTAACTCATCCAAAAATGATGATGGTTCATAATATATCCAATAATAATACATTTTTCGTATTCTAAAAATAAAAACATAAAATACATTTATTAAATACAGTGCAACTACGCTACTCAAACCGTCTGGCGGCAGAAGGGGCAGGTGGAGTGGGACTCTAGCCACACCCTGAGGCAGGCCACGTGAAAGTGGTGCCTGCAGGTGGGGAGCTCCCAGTACTGGTCGCCCTGTGCGTAGTCCTCCAAGCAGACCCCGCACTCGCTGATCCGCCTGTCGGTGTCGGCGGAGTACACGTGGACAGGGAAGGAGGCGATCCTGGCGGGCGGCGCAGGGTCTACCGCCGGAACGGGCCCCATCTCCAGCTCCTGAGGAGGAGGTGGCGGTGGGGCCTGCTGTGGGGCTCCCGAGAAGCAGGTCTTCCTGACCCACTGGACGGCGGCGTAGACGCCGTAGCTCAGGGCAATCGCCCCGATGACGACCCCCACGATCACAATGGTGAGGTCGTGTCGAGTCGCTCCACCGCTCGTACCATCCGAAGACATTTTTCGACTTTTGACTTTTTCACTTTTTTTTCTTCTACTGAAGGTTGACTTTTTTTTTTTTTCTTTTGACGAAGTTTTTTAGAGGGAATTATGAAAATGTCGGCGGCCGACTTATATAGAAAATGGACCTTCCCAATTTGGCAAAAAATAGAAAGGGAAACTTGAAAGCAAGCTTTCGTTTTGCCAAAAATAAAGGGAGAAAGAAAAGGGAAATCTTGTACCCAACTATTTCAGGTATCTATACGTTGGTTCTATTTGGTATCTTGACAGTGGAAATGCCCGAGTACAATAAATACGAGGTAGATAGTATAATAACTTAATTAGTAGTAGAGGTATTTCTGTACAATAGCCATTTTGGGTGGGATAATTATAGTTACCAGTCTTCAGTGCCGGCGCTGGGACTTGAGTAAATTCAAGCAAACAAACGTACACTTATACAGAATCATATATATCAAGGTCCTTTGGTCTTTGAATTTTGTCTCCAAATTGATTAAACATTGGCAATCTGACTACACATATGCCGTTGGTAAGGTACGAAATAATTTGTGGGTATACATTATTTCAATTTGAATGCCCAACTCAACTCAACTCGACACTACTTGCTTTTTCATGTACAAATTAAAATACGAAAAGGAAAATTAAAGAATCAAATACAAACGATTATTAAGGAATTTTCGAAAAAGGGCAGAAGTTACTAGATATCATGCACCCTGTTGTACTGATACAATTTCAGCGATGTACTTCAGTCCGATTCATTGTAATATATTTTTTTTCTCATTTACCCTTTGATGATCTCGACCATTAAACCATATTCGAGGAGTAATTTACGAGATTTGTCACTGGAATTACTTAAAATTTTCACATTTGGTCACTTTAAATATTTTATTTCATTCGTGATCATTAACTTTATGCTATCGTTTCCATTGAATTTCGTTAAATTTATTTTATGAAGCAGTTAACTCTCTTAGTTTACCGTTAAATATATGACGTGACAATTAAAAACAATAAAAATATTAAAAATATAATCTTTTAAATATCAGAGGTAGAAACCGTTGAATTACAAGTAAACAATGATTCTAGTATAAAATACCATACCATTGATTTTTCCGGTATAACCTGCGATACTATTTCAATATCCTTGTTAAATACTATATTAACTACCGTATTTTCTATGGTGGTGAAATTACTGTGGTTACAAGTAATTTTTCCTCTAATGATTGTCATGCATTTTCATTAGTACCATCAACATATCATGCCTCCACTTGGCACTTGCTATTTGATTGCATACTAAACGACATCATAAAACGTTCATTTGTGTTGCATCCGTAGAGAAATTGTCAACTTTGTTACACTTGATTTTCATAAAGATAAATCTAATTATATTATCTTATTTTCCATATATATTTTTACGTTTCATCGATAGCGTACCGCATTGTAATTGGACTTTGTATGACATCCCGGGAAGATTGAATCCAAACCAACATCTCAAATCAAATCATGCAAAGATTAAGAGAAGTACGCACACACAACCGTTTCTTTGCCTTGTTTCCTTCACTCAAACCAAAGAAGCTGGCCTATATAATAAAAAACCAAGAAGCTGGAATACTATATAACATGCGACAACGACGGCTACCTAAATCACACCGGACAATACAAAACTGTTCTTTTGTTGTTTGTTTGTTAAGATACTTGAGTGCAGCTTCTGGGTTCTCTGTGTTTCTGTGTCTTTTTTTTTTTTTTCTGTTTTCTGCCACACAAAACATAATATCATAACAGTAGCCTTCTGCATTGTTTCTACTACACTTATTTAGCAATCCCATGTGGTTTACTTTTACATCTACTTTTTGCAGGTCTAGACCTGTTTGGCCTTCCACAGTACCCTAATGGAAACCAGTTGAGATTCGTAAAGGTAACCTATATGCCCTCCTTCAAAATGAGTACTTAGAGAGCGTCATCCTATCGGATCGTCCTCTCGTACATTTTGCGTTAGTGAATCACACAATTCAACGTTCCTGAGGCGATCAATGCGATCGGTACGCACCATATGTTATTACCTAATATATTCATAAACTAGGAATCAACACATATGGGCAACACTGTGTTTATACCTTGAAAAATCCACCTAACCATCTAGCATTTGTTAGTCCTAATCCTTGAGGCCTTTTTCAGATTTCAGAAGGACAGAAAATGAGTCCAATTATGCAAAGGCTAAGCTGTTTTTATTGTTCTGTCTCCCAAATTGCCATTGCCATTTAGTAATGGAGATCAGACATCTGAATGGCGGCTGGCTAACTATACATTATCCCAAGCATTTATAGCACACCATAACGTGAGAGGAAGCAACTATGAAATGAAGCAAAAAAAAGGAACCAACAACTTCAAAGACGGCTCTTCAAATAACCTTATGCGGCCAGACCAGAACTCTACAATGGAGAAAACAGGTGGATATGGGATGAAACAGTCACAACACAACCATACAAGTCATCCCGCCTTAATTATATCCAGAAGAGCGTTGTTGGCTGCCACTTGCACAAGATTTAAAAGGAGAAAGAAAAAACCTTTAGTGTCAACTATTGAAGAACCATAAAATGAACACCAACAAAGTTCTCACAGTGAAATTAAAAAAAAAAGTCAATACTACTAAAAATACTAACTTTTAGCGACATTGTAATTTATATTACAGTACATTCGATATGATAATTTATAGGATTAATACCTTATTTTAACCCAAATTATACCCAAAATTTCTAATTTGGTCCGTGGTTTTTGAAATTGTTCCTCTTGCCCAAACTATGCACCATACTTCCCTGTTTGGCCCGGTGTGGGTTTTGACCATCAAATTGGACGGTCAACTCCATTGACCGTTAGTCAAGCGCCAGGTCACTTGCCACGTCAACAAGCCTGAAATAAAATTTGAAATTATTTAATTCATTTTATTTAATAATAGCAATAATAATTAATGTAAAAAAAAATTCAAAATTTTGGATAGAAAAAAAATAATTACAAAAACTCAAATTTCACTTTTTATATTGCTATTGTGGCAAGTGACTGTCCAAGGTTGCTTACGTGGCAAGTGACCTGCCGTTTGACTAATGGTCGATGAATTTGATCGTCCAATTTGACTGTCAAAACTCGCGTCGAGCCAAAAAAAAAATATGGTGTATAGTTCGGGCTAAGTGAGAAATTTCAAAAACCAAGTGCCAAAGTAAAAAATTTGGGTATAGTTAAGACCAAAATAAAGTATTAACTATTAACCCTTTAAAATACCCATATATAAATTTTCTAGTTAGTGATTAACATAAAATACTTTCAAGAATGACATCACTGCTAATATGAAATATTTTACTAAAAATTAAAAAAAAAGGTAAAACGATCGGAGTTCAAATTAGCCGCCGGCGGACTCAACATCGCGTTACCGGTGCTCTGGTACTAATTTTCCCAATGTAAAAAAGAATCCATCCACGCCAACATCGCCAATTCCGTCTCTCTACTTCTCCCCAAAATTCCCAATTTCAGTTCATCCCTCTACTTCTTCCCCAAATACCCAGCTTCAACTCTCTGCTTCTCCCAAAATCGCCAGGTCCCAACGAGACACTGCTTCTTCATCGCCGGCCGAGCATAGCCAATTGGAGATTGGGCAACCCGGGAGAAGCAGCCCTACCCTCCCTGCGTTCATCGGCAAGAACAGAGGAGGCGGCGGCAGCAGCTCGACCCGAGAGTGACAAATCCGGGCGTCTCGGTCACTGACTGAACTCACGCCGCGGCAAGGGTGACTGTAGATTTGGTGGATTCGAATTGGCTTCATCAATCCAGTTCTCCGACCTTCCTCCTTCTTCGTCGGATTCGTGCAGAGAAGGAGAGCGAGAGAGCGGAGGAGAGAGCATAGACAAGGCAGATTCATCTTCTTCTCTGACCTTCTTCCTTCTGGATCCGGCCTCTGATTGTGCGTCGTTTCCTTTGTCGCCGGCGAGATCCGGGAGACGGCGACTCCCTCCTCACATCGAAACCCACTAGTCGGTTTGGGGTTGTTGGCTGCAGGATGAGATTTGGGGTTTTTTCTTCTTTTTTTTCTTTTTTGAGATTTGAGTGAAAGAGGAAAGGAAGTCTCACAAAAATTGTGACTTGTGGTGAGAACTGATGGGATTCTCGAGCTGGAAATTAATGGCGGAGTTAGCAAATTGAAGATTTGATCCCGATTCGACAGAGCTTGGAAATTCAGCAAAAGTGAATGGCGAAGGTTGCCGCGAGGGCATGGTGGCTCTTCTCGAGCTGGATTCGTGATGAACAAAAGATCCGATCTCGGTCTCTGTCTCCGGCGGAGGAAATCGTCGCATGCGGCGAGGGTGGGTGGGGCAAACCAAAGTTTATTTTCTATTAAATTTAAAATTTTAAACATTATTTTTCCATGTGTCATTAATGTGTCACATACGGGATGATACATAGGCATTAGACGCTATTTCATCAATGGTTATTCAAAGATGGATTATCGTTAGATTAACCCTTAATTCTAACTGTCAACAGAAATTTGCAGAACATAAATAACAATGACACCGAATAGTTTGGAATATTAATATGTTTATTGAAGTTTTGAAATGTAAATGACAAACTAGTTAAATGTTGATATGTTTAGTGGTATTAGCCTATTAAAAAAAATGTACTTCGAACGAGCACCACTGTTATCAATATCATTTGTTCATTCTCACTCTCTACCAATACTGTGGCTCCATCTCAGAAACGAACTTGCATGATTCCATGTTTGTCTTTCTTTCTTTTTGTCTTTCCTCACTACAAGTTCCTGTGAGTGTGTCCACAAA